CGTCGTAAATAAATGACAGAACGCGCAAAAAATCGGGACGGACTGCGTAATAATTTGCGCGGAGTCGCAAAGTCGCGACGATCGCGATCGTTAACGGAGCTCGATCGTTTGTGTGAACACCTCGTGTGAAACGCGGTTCTCTCATTGTGACCTCGCGAACTTTTTTTACGCACTCGAGTACACATTTGAAGTTTATATCGAAGTATATATATTTCTTCTCTCTCGAGATTAGAGAGTTTCAGATGTAAATATAAAATATATTCAACTTTCAATTCAACTTGTTGTTGAACCATAACTCGGACGTTTGTAACTCGTAAAAGTTTTTCGCGAAATTACGAACAATATCATTTACTTGAAATGTCACGTTCCTGCAGAGCTAATGACACACAAGTGCATTTGCGATGCGTGTTCGCGCGAAAATCCGCACGGAGCGAGTCACGCGCAATCTCTCTCGTTGCGATTTTCGTGAGTATAATCCAACAGGTCGCGGCGTACAAACGCGGCCGCGCGACGCGGGTTTTAATGTCCGCGACACGTATCGAATCGGTGTTCCTCGGACAGCAAAATGGCCCCCGAGCCACCGGCGGCGGTGTAGAATCGAAAGCTTACACGCACGCATGAACGAGACGCGACGCCTCGGGACACGCGATGCCGTCCGCGTAATGAACGAACGTGCGTGTGCGTGCACGCGACGCACGCAACGCGCCGGGCCGAGGCAGAGAGGCGACGATCTAATATCCCGCGACCGATACGGAAAACCGCCCGTCCGCTGTTTGCACGCGGTGTGTGAAATACACGTGTACAATATCATACCGACCGTGTAATTTTGTACGCGGTTAATTTTATTTTCTGAAATAATCCACACACACACACGCGCGCGCGCGCGCGCAACACACACCCACGTTCGCGCGCGCGAACGGAAATATTGCGAACAACATTAAATGTTACGTAGTTTTTGGGGAGGGAAAAAAGTCCGCAGTTGCGCGCAACAGAAAAAAAAATGGAAATTTCGCGAAAGAAAAATTATCGGAAAGCGCAAGAGGGGACGAGCGCGCCAATAGAAACGTTATCTCGGATAAGCTGGCATCGGCTATTTCACTGAATGTCAACTAACACACAAACACCACTACGTACTATATAGGCACGTATCCATTACTAAACAAATCACGAGAGCCGTTCGACCGTGCTTCTATAAGCCCCGCCGCTGGGCGCTGGATAATTAAAGCTGCGAGGCACATTTGATCGAGTTTCGGTCTCGCTCTCACGGTTCCGACACAGACCGATTGTTCCCCCATTTTAATTTTTTTCGGAAAATTGGAAAAGGAATTCTTCCCCGCTTTCTCGATCATTTTTTTTTTTTTTTTTTGCGCTCGCGCACGAATATATAGACGCGCCTATTTGTGTGTGCGTGCGTGCGCGTGTGTGTGTGTGTATGCGGCATATGTGCCAGAACCGGGCGAAAATTGGAAATTGATTTCGGCCGTGGAATTCCGAGCGATATGTCGGGCATGTATTCGAAACGCGATACCGAAATTTCGCGCCTACGAAATAGTTCCTCCGCAATACGTTCGCCGGGGAGGATTCATCAGAATGTCATTCGCTGAGATGTGGGTCACGCGACGCGGCGTTATATTACAATCCGGAGAAGTAACAAAAAACAAAAAACAAAAAAAAAAAAACACAAGCAAAAGATCGCTGTGAACCATTGTTGTCTCTCGAACGATGTAATTTTTGCAATACTTGCGTCTTACAGATAATTTATTATACACAATCGAGAGAGATAAATCGACGTATCGATATCTCTGTATTCTCGAGAATTGCGCGCGATAAGTGTCGGTAAAAATAATCGTCGTCGAACGTATCGATTAAGATGTCAGGGAGGTATTTAAGGAAGAAAAAAATCCAAGTGCTTATTTTCCACGTTACGTAAGTAATCGCTTCGGTGGATTTGCATGCAAATGACACAACGATAGTTTCCTCTGAAGAAATATGACTTGGCGGGTTCGAGAACTGTCAGAACAATGAAGTCGTTAGAGCATCTGAATTAAGAACGGAACGCATACTGGATACTGCTGGGAGCATTTTGTCGAGAAAGAGAGAGACTTGGGGCATCTCTCACTTGCGCTTCGTTCTTCGAAGAGCAAGTGAATGTTCTCGCGTGAGCCGCGCTCGTTCAAGAGAGACGATCACAACGAGACGTGAAGAAGATCGTGAGTTAAGGAGAAGGTTGCTCGCGATTCCAGTATTTCCAGTATTTCGGGTGTCCCGCGGAGCGCTGTTTTTCGATCGCCCGAATCGAACTACTTCATTAGAGCGTCGAGCCGATGTAACGACGACGATAACACGTCTCGGTCGCGAAACCGAAGAAGACGATTGCCGATAATTAATAAAGAAACGGCGGTATCGCGAACTCGCCACCGAATTGCGCCCGGGGGGGGGGGGGCTTAGATAAAACGAAGAAAAAAATGGTCCAGAGCGAGACGCGTAATTCAGAAACGGGCGGCGCCCGCATTAATTGGAGGAATTTTATTTTTTCGCAAACTTTATTTACTTTAATTTACGCAAACAAAGTTGTTTGTTTTTCTCCAATAATTCGCACACGCGTGTCATCCCTGTATCTTAATTGATGCGTTTATACGCGGCGGTATGTGTTTTCGCTTGTGTTCAGGGGATTCGCCCCGCGCGCGCTTTCATCCTGTCAAACATTCCCACGCCTAAATGCCCTCGCTAGCGCCTGAAGAAGCGCACGCGGTGTCACTTTAAAACGGGAGCAACGAGGTCCTTTTCAGCCTCTGTTGTCGCCACGACGGGATGCCTCCGGTTCGCTTTCGGTGACGTACCGTCGGTGTGTCCTGTTTGCGGTCCTCGACGGCCTTTCACCGATATTTACTCTCGCCTAGGCCCTCCGCCTGGGTTTGCCCACGAAGACATCTCGAAGGATCGTGACTCGGCAGTGTCTCGTTTTTGTTTGCCACGCCGCCGGGATTTCCCCACAAAGGGCCCGGTGCATCGTGCGCCGTTCTTTCCCTCAAGACGCTTGGGATTAAACTCGAAAGGATTCCATATATGTGTGTGTGTGTGTGTGTGTGTATGTGTGTGTGTATGCGTGTGCGTATTGTTTGCGCTAATTGTTTTTTCTTCTTCCTAACCTAATCCAACTCGGCCAGAAAAAAAGGTTGCGAAAATTAGGACCTAACACGAAGTCAAATCTCTCGGGGAGGAATGACGATTCTCTAAACTTGACCAAACAATCCCCCTTGGCGCGTTTTTTAAATGAATTTATGTAAACACACACACAGGGAGTTAACGGCGTGTCAAAAACGCTGGTTAAACGTTGGAACAATCTTTGGAAAAACTGTTTCGGCTTTCGTAGCGCGCGGGAGCGGAGAGAGGTCACGCATCCCTCTTGTGAGCGCCGCGCGTCAGTAAATAAACCATACTCGCGTTTCTTAACGAGTGTGTACTCCACCGAGTATTCATACGAGATCGCTTTTATAGACTCGCTTTTGAGGTAGCGTGAAAAAACACATAATCCTTCAAAGGACCCTCGCGGACCAGATCTTTCGTAAATCTGGAAAGGGTTGTGTGGGCCAGAGATGAAAAGGGCCGTCGTGTCTATTAGCCCCTTGGAGAAGGGGTTCTGTGGATTTTTTTTTTTTTTTTTTTTTTTTTGAGAGGCATTTTCTGGACTCGTGCACAAACTGGATCCGATCTCTCTGCGCTCCCAGATAGACAGTTTGAGAGAGAGAGAGAGAGTGTGTGTGTGTGTGTATGTATGTGTGTGTGTGTCTTTAAGGGCGGAAGACGCACGCTTGCTGCCCTGTCGCACGATGTAGGTGAACCATGCATAATGTCGTGGCCACATTACCTTTCGACGACAATCTGCTCTCTCTCTCTCTCTTTTTCTTCCCTTCATTCCCCTTCTCTCTTCCTTGTTTCGTTTCTCTCTCTTCGCTTTATGTTACACGAGAAAGAGAGAAAGAGAATCGCAAGGAAGAAAGGAAGAAGGAGGTGGAAGAGTGGTCTTAACAAAGGTCGGTCTGTCACGCACTGCGCGACAGCCCAGCCATTGACATCGGCGGACTCTGGGTAAGGAGGACTAGATTTCACGAGCCAGCGATGCAAGATCCTTCAAAGGGCGCCGACGGGTTGCCGCAAAAAGGATTCGCAAAAAAAAAAGAAAAACGAACGAAGCAAGGAAAAAGAGACAGAACCACCATGGCTGCGGAAAGGGAGAGGAGGGGAAGGTACAACAGGCTACGTCTTTAGTTAATGCTGGCTTCCGCGCGCCCTTCTCGTCCGGGAGAGGAAAAGAGAAAAGACGAGAGCGCCGAAGGGATCCGAGGGAGCAGACAGCCGAGAGGCTAATAGAGAAGAAGAAGAAGACGAACAAGAGAAGCGGGAGAGGAAGGGTATGAAAAGAGAGAGAGAGAGAGAGAGAGAGAAAAAGAGAGAAAAAGAGAAAAAGAGAAAGAGCGAGCGAAACTACTTGACGGCGAAATCCATCGCGATAACTTAATCCCAGGATTACGCTGCGGTTAGGTATCCGCGCGGAAATCCGATCGCGCGCGCCTGACAGGATCTCCTTCAGGGCTGTAGCAAAGGAACGCGACTGCTCCGTTTCCGGTTTCTTGTCCGATCTCTCTCTCGCGAATCTCGACCTTCCTCGCCCGAGAGCGACTAACGCGTGGATTATCATCGTCATCATCCGCGCATACAGAAATCAATTGATATTATACCTGAAGATGTCGTATTTTTTTTTTTACTTTTGCAAAACGCGTCGACGACAATCACGTGTCGTCGCGGAAGAAACAAAACATGCATTTGCACATCAATCATCACATCGCGACCAGATTTCTTGGACGCACGTTGAATCGGCCTGTGCTAATATCGGGCTGCATTCAGGCGGGTTCAAGTTAGCGATTATTAATTGCAAAACTAAGGAAGCGAAGCTTAAGATTAAGTAGTAAGTAAGTAATTGTTTTGTTGGCGTTACGTACAGTACTTACAAAGCCGTGCTTGTCGCTGATGTTGTTCGTGAGCTTGAGTTTGTGAAAGCTCACGACCTTCTGCATCCACTGCTCGCCGCTGCTGGGCGAGTCCGGATGTATGTACATCCTCTTCGGCATTTCCGGATCCGCCTTGCCCGCTACCATCCACCTACTGCTCGCGCGCAAACACAGTAAAAACAAAATATTAGAAAATTGGCCGGGCAATTGCGCCGCAACGTAAAAAAAACGTGTCTCGCGAACGACGAAGACTACGAGATATCTTCTTCATCGTTAGAGATAAATCACCGCGAGATCGAGAACGCGCAGACCACCACAAGAAAATAAATAAACGCAACGCGCACTACTCCCCGAAAGCGAAATATTCAGATAGAGAGACTGGATTAAAATTCGTTCCGTTATAATTTTTTACCGACCGCTTCTCTTTATTAAGCAGTTTTTCTATCCTAGACTAGACTCGACCGTAATTTGAGCCAGGGACGAGTTAGAGACGTTTCTTTTCCGATAATCTCGGTGGTGAATTCTAACAATTTTCTCCAGAAGGATGCCGGTGTAAACTCCCTTTTCTCTCCCCGCCCTCCCTCTCCCGCCCGCATCCTTCGTTCGCAAACGACGAAAACCCGATGATCTGGAACGAGCCAAAAGGAGGATCTCGAGAAGCGTGTTCCTCGTTGGCTCGAGTGGTTTCGTCTCTGCCGCGAGCATCGGCCGATTGTTGTCTTTTAAGGGAGGCGTGTCCACCGCGCGGCGTTCGTAGTCTTTCTCGTCTCTTCGCAGGTGGGTCAAACTCGAGCGCGAAGGACCGAAGGAAGAAGAAGAACTCGTTCGACGAGTTCCAAAGTGGCTGCGGTCGCCGTCGTGATGTAATCGTTCATTGTGGTCTGCGTTTTCGATCGTCGGAACGCGTCGGTATCCGAGATGCCTCGCGCCGAAGAGAGTTTTCTTTCTTGAAGGTGGAGAGCGCGCGCTAATCGAGAAAAAGAGAGAGAAAGAGTCGTCCCCTCTGTCGGTACGCGCGAATTCGTCATTCGATTGCGAAAAAGTTCCGCGCGTTCGAGAGAGAAGTGCGCGCGAAAGTAACGCGGGGACGGAACAGGTTGCACACTTTTGCGCAGCTAAAACGTAAATATTTGCACCGGGCCAAAAACTTGAAGAGAAACTTGAAACGAACAAATATGTGGAAATAATCTCTTTTTTTTTTTCTTTTTTGCAATCGCGAGTGACGTGAAATAACAAACGGGTCGTCAAAGCGTAAATTTTTATTATGCGTTTATGAAAAATATTTATAAAATTATGTTACACTTAATATTTATAAACACAGAAAATGAATTTTCAAATTCATCGCGAGGCATCTCGTTTACCTAATGTGAAGGCTTGCGATCCCCATACAAGTCGAAATAATTTCCCATAGGTCCTTTCCCTACGTGGCACTTGAGTAAAAAGGGATCAATCATATATAATTCCTTTTCTTTTTTTTTTATTTATTTAAATATTCTCCCATGACTGAACCATTTATGTTAAATGTTGAATATATACTTTTGTTGAAACATTTGTGTTAAGTTTCAGAGACGTTTGTCCACTTTGCGAGAAAAGTGGTCGTTAATTTTCGTTACGCCGGATCGATGCGAATCGATCGGATCTAAAGCGAGATCGAGTTTGCGATGTAAAAACAAAAAAAAACAAAAAAAAACAAAAAAAAACAAAAATGCGTAAAAACAGAAACGAATTTGTTTCGACGAGTATGAGGAATTGTTCGCAGCGCACGCTCCACACTCAATTGAGGATATAGTTTCTTGTGATAAAAACTAATTGTCAAGAAAGAGGATCAGAATCAATCCAGGATCATTGATCGCAAAAATTATAAAATTCCATTGTTGACCTACTTCCGTGTAAAAACCAAAATATTTAACTGTTCCTCTTTTTCGAATCGATATGTCTAATTTTTTTTTTTTTTTTTAATTCGAAAATCGACAAAGAATGATCCAGAATTGTTTTGATCGCGCACAGGGTCAAGGATATCACCTGTTGTGAAATTTATATCGGCATTCGTCCGATGCCACGATGTCCATTAGAAGTATGTAGCTAGCCTGCTTGTCTAACCCGAACACCCTCACTTTATACGCGGGAAACATGCGTCTGCGAACAATTTTGCGATCGCAAAAAAAACACAAGCACAGCGCACATTAGTTTCGTCGTTCACTGCTGAGTTTTTTTTTTTTTTTCAAAAACTTCCGTTTTGCTTTTTTTTCTTTCACGGAAAAAGGGAACCGTGCGTACACAAATCTTTTTTTTTGCGCGGACAACCGAGTTTTAAAGATCTCGCGAGAAACTTGACATTCGACGAATGGATTTTTAAGCATTTGCACAAACAAGAACAAGAAAATAAATACAAACAGCATCGAATTGTTGTATTTTGCGAGAAATAAACTTGCGAGAAAGAGAGATCGTTTAAAACACGAGCTGTCCGCGGCAATTTGAGTTTTGCAAGTGCCTCCACTTCGCCCCTACAATATCCCCGCAAATACCTCTACCTGTTGTGAAACTTGTATCTGTAGTCGTCGGCGGCAACGATGTCCAGCAGGAGGATATACTTGGCCTTGGCGTCTAGACCGGAAACTCGGAACTTCATCTGAGGAAACATCTGCCTAGACCCCCGATCAACATGTACAGTTCGATTAGATCGCTTTGCTCGATTAAGTTCGAGCTAAAACTAATTCTTAAAACTATTCGTGCAAACTACATCGCTCGCGAAGTTCTCGGAGAAATTGCGAAAACAAAAGTACATAAATGTGTTATAGATCTGAAAAAACAAAAAAAAAACGAAGAATTCGCGAAGAATTCGCCATCCTGCAGCTCCGAAGTTGCTCTTCAGATCACGAGGTGCTTCGCGCGAGGAACGCGCGAGTCACGTAGACGACACCTGGTAGAATCCTGAAAGGTCGGAATAGAAACGTGCACGAGTCAATCCCGGCCGCTGTCAGACGCGCTTGGCTTCCGAGGCCGCGTTCCCCTGGAATAAAAACCGGACCCCGTTTCCCGGGCCAGAGTCGGCCCGCTGCTGCTGCGCATCCCGGTCGGTGCATCATCGAGTCGGCGCTCTCGCCTCCGAGGAATTATATTCACCCGACGAAGAAGAGGCGCGCGGCGCATCGCGGACAAGATCTGGGAAATCGTCGCGCGGAATCGCGTTTTTTCGCAACGAAACGCGAGACACACGTCGTCCAGCTCTCCTCGTTCGTTCCGTAATGAAAATTACGTCGCGCGACGAATGCTGCTTCCTTCCTTCCTCCGAGAAGAATCGCGAGTCCCGGAGATTCCGCAAAGAATCAAACGTCGTTAAGGTGTGGGAAAATTCCGAGCTTTTTTTCTATCGCCGCAAAAAAGAAAACCACGTCTTTGAAGATCGAAAATGTCGCCGAAGCGCGGTCCGGGGTAATCCTCGTGCGATATTGTTACGCGCGCGCATTCAATATTTCACACTCGCACCATGTTACCATAATTCGATAATGTAACGTACTTCATAAATAATTACCCGACACGCAACAGCACTAATGTCACAAACATTGCATCATTCATTTATTACAACCTGACAAATATTATTTATAACTAAATAAGTGATAAATGAGGTGTGACCTCCGGCTCCTTTTGGTAACTCCAATAAATAGAATTAATTAGCAGGGCAATAATGAGCCGAAACGTCTCAATTACATTTTTTAATTTTTCTACGGCACAACATCCTGCCATGGCTCATTATTGCCCTGCTAATTAATTCTATTATTTATAACATTTGTCTACTACTTGCACCATAACGTGTAGAAATTGAATGAAGTAATATTCGAATAATCTTCTCTTTTTCTGGCGTAATAAATATATATCTTCCAAATTTCATCGCACGCAAGAAATTCAAGTTACCTCAAAACTTGCCATCATATATTAGTGGCACTTCGACAGAAATACTTTCTCACGACTCGTAATGTGGCAAAACACCTCATTAACATAACTGGGCATCGTAAAATTATCAAGTCTAAAAGAAGTGCGCGAACGGACATTATACGAAGTAGATGATTATACAAGACGTCTCCGCGCGCGCGCGCGCGCGCGCGTGTGTGTGCGTCACGTACGCACCTCTATGGCAGTATAGTACCTCTGTACTACTCGGCTGTTAATGACAGCAAACAAAAGATATTTGTAAACCCCTCGGTCTTTCCGTATCCCAAGGTCTCTGGTTCAAGGTCGAGGATGCACTCGATCGAGCTCGCGGTTTTTAACAAACAAACCATTTTACATTCGCGCTACATTGACACAAGCAAGCATCAAAGTGTACCTATATTTTAATCGTTTTTTCTTTAAGTATTTTTAAATAGCCGACTATTAAGTTTATCACACAGTTATTAAGTGAACGTTAAGTCGATTGTATAATCGAGTGACATCAAGAGCGTGGTTGCGCCGCGCATCGCACGATAATGAATTTGAAAATAATTTCCCCGCTTTGTAAATTATGAGAAAATGAAAGGTGGATTTAATTGACGGTTCCGTAAAAGACCTCATAAATTCTTGGAATTGCTAGGTATCGATCCGAAGGCGGGCACTTAAGGATCCTCGGGGCCTCGCGACGTGTCCAAAAAGTAGATGAAGCGGGGCATCACAAACAACCGCGGGGATTTCTAGTAGCATCTGCCTACTGTCTGTCTCCTCCTCCCTTCCCCTCCTCCAGTTGGAGATACAGACCGCGTCTTTCGGGCCTTGTCAAATTTTCGTCGCGAGCGAGAAAAAGCGAGACGGGGAACTCGCGACGACAGACGACGACAACGACGACACCACCTCCCGTCTCTCGCTCACATCGCGGAGGACACTAAGCCGGATTATCCGCGCTATGTGAGCCAAAATATCCCGCGGGAGGACGCGCGTCCAGGCAATCCTCTCTCTGACGAGCGTGACGAGCGAGATGCTGTCAGCGCTGCATCGCAAATGGCCGGAGGCCGGACGCGCCGGATGTCCTTTACATTCGATCAATCAATTATACATACCGCTGCAAAGTATCGGTTTTTTTTTTGTTTTGTTTTTTTTAACTATTTTTTTCGCTGCGCGAAAATAGTTTGTTGTTTGTTTCGGAAAAACAAAAAAAAACACTGTACACGCGCGGTGGTCGTCAATACGCGGCGTAAAAAATTGGAAATGTCGTTAATGACGACCGACCTAGAAGCCAGCGCGCGCTCGCGTGGCGTGGTAATTTATTCACGAAACGAGTGAGTACATCCGCCAAAGATCTCCATTAATATATATCCTTGATTTAAAAATAATTAGAAAGCGCGAGAACATACATATACGGCAGGCGCGTTGCGAACTTCTTCGTCGAACGTTACGCGACGTTCGAAATATCGCGTTATCGAAAAATTAATCAAGCGCGTCAATCCGTCTGTGTGTTTTATTCTTTTTTTTGTTCTTTTTTTTTTCGATCGATTAAAAAATCAGCTTGAGACGTGTAAACAGTCCGCCGTATCCGAAATATATACATATCCGTGCCGCCAGAATTAATTACCACGGAGGACACGTAAAGAGCGAGCCAACGTATACGATAGATCTTTCTCTCGGAGATCTGAACATCAGATCTCCGAAACGTCGTTGTTAAGTAGCGCCTACCAGCGCTATATCACTCGGAGATCGAGCGGGGGAAAGTTGAAGAGAGGAAAAAAAAAAACAGTCGACGCGGATGTATACATTATCGTATTTTGAAATCGTATCGTGGCGCGGCGCCGATTTCTCGCGCGCGCGCGACGACCCTTCTTCCGTTGCGCCCACAACTTTTGGTGACCGGCGAAGCCGCTAATGAGCGATAACAATACGAGTAAACAAATTACAGACGACCGTTGTCGATCGTACGAGAACAGGCTGCTGAAAGCCGTAAATTGTCCGATAAACGCGCCTTTGAACAACTCCCGCTCGCCACTGGCGACAGCTTCTTACCCAGCCGTACCATATACTCAAGTAACGACGTATCACATAGCTCGAAACAGCTTGATAAGACACTCGGCCACCGATCGAAAGTGGTTTCTCGAGATTGATATATACGAGACTACGAGATTTCTTGAATTTAAAATTGAGGACGTCCTGCCGCGATTGGATTGCGCGACACTGCCGTTCGTTACACGTTGATAAATCACGATCGTGATATGAATATTAAAAAAGTGGGACAAAAAAAATACGATCGCGGAAAAAAATTTTTGCTGAAATAACAGAAGAAAGCTAAGTTGCCACGTATACGGACGGCAAGAAAAATCTGTTAAATTCGTGGCTTCGCCAGCAAAACATTTTGTTGAAGTGAAACAAAAAAATTCAGTTTTGCTCAGCGAATTTTTCTTGCTGGTCGTATAAAACTTTTTTTTTTATGTGAAATGTATTGTTTTTCTTCTGATTTCCTGCTTTTTTTTTTTTAAGTTTCGTACGTGTAACAGGAATGCAAGATTCAAAATGTTCGTCCGTTCAAAACTTTTTAAAATTTAATCGGTGACGTGAGAACACACGTCTTCTCAAAAATAATGCGACGGAAAAAAGGTCCGAGGAATCATCATCGAGGCTGGCCAGATTTAATGGCCATTCTTCTCCCATACGTAGCAGATTACGGAAAAGGATTTTTGAAACCCGAAAGAACGGGGTTCTTACGGGTCAAGTCATCAGAAATATTTATCGACGTCATTTATACGATCCCCTCCCTCCTCGTATTCTCTCATTACAGTTTATGTAACTGCCGGACGGGAATAAGAAATTAGGTGCTAGATCGAGCCGCGTTGGCCCCGTTGACGCCGCGTCAAATATGTCCATGCCCCGGCAATATAATACTAAAACTTACATCGTAAAACGATCGCGGACGCTTGATAAATCGTAGCCGAAAAAAAAAAGCGTTCTTCTTTTTATGATTTTTATCTCTCTTGAAATCGAGGTAAAAAAATAAAAAATATACAACGTGTGAGAAAACGGTAATAATATAATCGTCGTAATAATCATCGTCTGCGCGCACACAGCGATGCCAATAAAATTATATTTGTACTCTGTGTGTGTGTGTGTGTGTCAAAACAAAAACTGATCAAATATTAATTTCTCAAAAAGATTAACATTGTTTACAAATTGTAGATAATTCTGTGTGAATAATTCCACGATTGCAACAAAAATAGAGATGAAAACGCAACCAGCTATTCGATGTCGCGATCTATGTTAAAAAAAAAAAAAAAAAAATTTGCGATAGCGATCGCGAAACGAAGAGCTATGTGAGCCAATTATTCGCGTGTACTCACACGCCCGCACGTGCGCGTGTATTTTCTCATTTGTTTTTACACACACGTTCGCGTTTTTACACGCCTATTCTCCGCGATTATTGCTATTAAGTATGTAGCGTGTGCGCGACGACACAATTACATCTGAAAAACCGATAACAGCGATCGTACAGCGATATACGTGGCGTTATGATTGATTCCGCGGCTATCGCGCGCGATAAAGCGGAATAGAATACAAAATAAAGCGCGGTAGATATTTATATACATATATATATATATATATATATATATATATACAAAACGGGCAACTTTGTGTATAGGAAGCACCTGCTTCGTCCGACATTCGATCATCCCCGGCGCTCGTTTCACGTTTGTAA